TCTCTACTCTCTACTCTCTACTGAGTACTCTACTCTACAACAATGATGTCAACCCCAGCACCTTGAAACTCGGATCCGATCGCCCTAGAAAACTTGAACGCCAATGACGATTATCTGGTCGACCGAACCGTTTTCAATCGTCTCCAGTTACGAACCCAAATCAAAACCAAGGACTTGACAAGGTCAAGGAGAGATGGACAGGGGTTTGAATCAACTGCCGAGACTTAAGAGACAATACCCGTTTTAGTTTTAACGGACTTGGTTTGTGAGGCAATCAATGCAAGTCATTTTAGTGCATGGATAGGTACCTAGGAGTGCTCTGGTGTTGTAAAATAAGGCTGTTTGTGTACCTATGTTAGTGAAACACTGAGCTATGAAGCCTTGAATTATGCAATTTATTATACCCATTTGAACTATCCAAGTTAAAGAAAGGTATTGCTCTTTGATACCAGTTTGTTAACATGAATTGTTTACTGGTGAGGCCATCTGTCTCATACCCCGCCAATGGATGCTGGCTGGATGCTATCTCATTCACTATTGCCCCGCGACGCGTCTAACTAAGCACGTTCAACACCTACACATCAAGAGTCACCATCTTTAATACAACAAAAATGGTTGACACAACCGGTGACCAAGATCGAGAGGTAATTCATGATGCTGTAATTGTTGAGCTTCAGCTAACATCAAAACAGCGTCTCAAGGCTGCCTTGTGGTACGCCGTCGGTCAAATTGTCGATGAAGAGTCTCTCAATCGCAACCGCAACGCCACACCGCAATTCATCGGTGCACTCACAGAACTCGTCTGGACACAAATTGGTAGGTCACCATTATTCTTAGCTCAGAAAGTAAGAGGATACTGGCTAACTGCGATCAGAGAATGTGGCCACGGATCTGGAGAGCTTCAGCAACCACGCAGGACGCTCAACAGTGACAACAGACGACGTGTTGCTTCTGGCTAGAAAGAACCCTGATTTGCATCAAATCATGAAGGAATTCGTCGATCAGGCCAAGGCTGAGAAAGGAACCACCAAGGGCAGAGGAGGTGCAAGCAAACGTTAGGCGAATTGAAATACATGGGCATCAATGGAGTCTGGCGCAACAGGAACAATGAATTAGCGAGTTGCACTCGCAAAGATGAATACACAGCAACCAAATTCAGTCATCGGTATTCTACATTCGTGTGTTGTCTATATATTTCCATCTAACTCAGACCTTGATGGATGACTGCCCCGAGTACTTCTCCCGATATTCAGATAACATATTCAACGTGACACCAGAACCACCACAAACCACAAATACCACATTCTTCTTACTCCATTCCTCATCAGACAAACCCTCGCCAAGGACCGTTCTCAAGTCTCCTCGGTAAGCAATTGCCAAAGCCGCACCGCACGCTACCTCAACCAGCTGGCGTGCATCATCGGCGAAGCGCACAGCACTTATAGCAGCATCAGCATCAGACACCACGAGACTCTTCATCGTCCCTGTTGGATGCTGACTCCACTTCCATGTCTGTTCAGAAACTCTCGTAGCGCCGAGAGATGTCGCGATCGATGTCATCTCGGGCAGCGTTACGTGTTCGCCTGCTATGACACTTGCGTTGAGACTATCGGCCCCCTCCGTCTCAACGGCTAGAACCGCTGGCTTTTCGCCTAGCCATGGACGACTCTCAACGCCTTGCATCAAACCGTTGATCAAACCGCCTCCGCCAACGCTGCAGACGATACCATCAACGCGTCCCTCGACCTGATCCCGGATCTCATCCACCATAGTCGCTGCTCCGTCCCAGACCCGAGGATGGTCAAACGGCGGGACATAAACAGCCGTGGGGTCCTTCGCCACCAGCTCTTCACGCATATACTTATCGCACTCGGCCCAATTCTTGCCTTTTTGATGCACCTCTACTCCAAGATCAAGAAGCTTGCCCTTCATAAGCGGGCTGATGATGGTCGGCATAACAATCGTAGCTTTTTGACCTAGCGAGATGGCAGAAGTTGCGCACGCCAAGCCAGCGTTGCCACCGGAAGAGCAGTAGAAGTGAACAGGGCCCGTGGCCGCTGCGGCAGCTTGGGTCATAAGGTTACCGATTCCACGAGACTTGAATGATCCTGAAGGCTGTAGATTTTCATATTTGAGGAAGACATTACTGAAAGACTGTTAATCGGCCTGCTCAAAATAGGGAGGTTGTGTAGCGTACCATCCTGTAAGACGAGATAATTGAGGATTCGGAAGACACGGCGTCTTGATCCATGGTAATTTGGCGTCAGAGTCTAGAGATCCCATTATGAGTATTTTTATGTGAGGAAGAGTCGAGGTATTTGAGAGAGCTGGAGGTTGTATCTGGGGACGCTGGGAACGTATATATTGCCGCTCTTAACTCCGAAGATCGGCCAAATTGCGCCCTACTACGATTGTAGAAGGTTCTTTAATTCAGGAGCTAGAAACCAAATATACAATAACTGAGAGATGAGTCAAAAGAGTTAGCTCAGATGGATGAGATGCTAAGTTGTAATATGGTCTTTTATAAGTACGTCAAATATGAACCCTGGCAATATTTTCAATTAGGTTTGAGTGGCATTTCCAATCAAAGTTACCCTATGCTGATGCTGATGTTTGGGGTAAACCGAGTTGAACGTTGGACCCTTAAAAGAAACCCCATGTATCTCCATAGATTCATTTACACGAACTGTATCCACTTGATAACCGAAAGGCGCAAAAGTGACTACATCTCATTCTTCAAATCAGTTCCAGAACCACAAGTTGTATATAATGACCACAAGATCTGAGTTAGATTCAACAGTTGTAAGCGAACTTCAACACTGGATGATATCACTCCCAATGTTGATTGACTTTCTGTTGATAAGAACTAGAGGAAAAGAATGATCTCCTTCTGCAGTTCTTTCATCTCAACTGGTTCAACCATGGTAGACATGCTGTATCTCCAGTTCCACGATATGTCAACGAACTTGTATACTGGCGACTCTATTCTCCTTTTTGAATTCTACAAAGACCAAGACAAGAGTTGGAAAGCCGAGGGAAGATTTCCGAGTCCCAAGGAATTTATGAATCTTAGGAAAATCTTAGGCAGGATTGCAGCAGACTCGGTGGACTTTTGAAGCTGGGAGAGAAGTTGAGATGCCTAGACAAAATATATGATATCTTTCCGCATCGCAAAACATTACAGTGAATCACAGTCGCATCTTCCGGAATATAAATAGGATCCTTTCCACCCACTCCTCCTCTTCACATCCCTTCCCCCTACACATCCTTTCCCTCTACACCAACCATCACCATGGCAGATGAAGAACCTCCACAGAAGCGCTGCAAGCTGCAGATCGAAGCGCCCTTGCCGAAAGACTTCAAAGAATACGGGATCCCAACAAATCAATTCGTTTGGGGGCCTCACGAAGAGAGCCGTCCAGAACCTTCGTTTGACGATGACGAGACAGCCAGGCCTCCTTCTATCCCTGGTCCTTATCTCACGACTCCAAGAAAGAAGCCCAAACTTTCTCTCGCACCTCGCGGTCGCACCAATACGAAGCCTCGTCCCCTAGCTGGACGTCAAACTCGACCCAAACCCTCGCGCAGAAACAAGACGAAGCCTCCTAAGAAACGCGGCCTGCTTGATCTTCCCGGTGAGATTCGAGAGGAGATTTATCGCGGCCTCCTTGTATCCCACAAGCCCATTCCTGTATACGACGGTTGGAAGAGGGTCTATCAGCGGGAGAAACCTGGCCTGGATATCAGCATTCTCATGGTCTGCAAGAAGGTTTTCGATGAAGCCATCGGTGTGCTCTACGGCGAAAACACCTTTCTCTACCGCCTTCGCGATAAGCCTACTCAATCCCATGTCATCACCAAAGTTCACGAACTGGCCAGAAGCAACGCCTATGTCCCAGAGCTCGGCCCCAGAGAGACTTACACCACCGTGTTTGGTGACGAAGACGTCCGCGCAAGAGCAGTCCATGAAGCTGGGACTATCGATTTCAAGAAGTATGCCTATCTATTCCGCTACATCACCTTGCAGGCCGACCACAACCGATACGAATCCTACACCATGCAGTTCATGGCTGATGCTATCAAGATGTTTGCCCAGGAACCTGGTAAGACCAACATCCACACACTGACGATCATCATGAGTCCGCAGTACAAACACGGCAACTTCACCTTTGTCAACTGGTTCGATTCAAAATCAGAGATCATCATGGCGCTCAAGGCCGTATGCTGCGAGATCATTCGTATCAAGATCTGGAACAAACATCTTAACGACAATATCGGCCTCCCCTCTTCTCTGATACTGCTGCGCGCCCATCAGCTACGATTCGTGAAACAGCTCAGGTACCAGAAGATCCAAGATAAGAAATCCCAGGGAAAAGGAGTCAAGGGCAAGAAAAGATCGCGCAGGCCCGACATCTGGAAGGGAGATAAGAAAATGAGATGGCTTCGATACAAGCGACTTGGAGAGATCCACAAAAGGTTGGACGGACTTCAAGCTTCTGTAGAAAAAGCCTGCAAAAAACATCTCCAGCCACATGTTATGCGAATGGGCGATCGCGGGGATGTATCGGAAGACGAAGACGAAGACGACGGAGAAAACTGGGAAGCTATTTTCCACAACGTGCTGACAGAGGACAACTCGGCGGCAGAGGACGCAGACGATGAATCAAGCGAAGACAATGACTCCGAGTACGAGGAGTAAGTTGGGGGGTTGAGGCAACTCTGGGCTGAATTATGCATTTCATTTGAGACAGGCGTTCACGGGAGCGAGAAACATGGATGGGATGATGGTGATGATAATTAGGGGCGTTTATCGAAGGTTTGGACGAATGCGGGATCGCTTGATTTGCTCAGCACGTAACTCAGGACTCGATATGCTTAATCAACTATTGCTTTCGGGGTATTTTCGTCGCCTATTTTATCTTGTAACTCGACTACGTGATGGTTCTTATGTCGTAGATATCTTGATCCTCTCCACCTCGAGTGTCTCAGTGTCGACTAACACCAACTCTTTCGTTTGCGAGAAGGATGGGACGGTGATTAGTCTCACTGACTGACCCTCAGGCCCATGAATGACCTTGGTTGAGAACTGCGGTTGGTTGCCGACAAAATAGAGATGAGGGCAGGTCTGCATAACGAATGGATCGTCATCTTGGAATGGATAGCTCCCTAGATAGTATGTTAGGTAAAGATATCAGTGGTTGCGTAGGCGTGCACTTACATAGTGTATCAGGTGCGGTCGGGGCACAGCATCGCCATCTGCACATAGCCTCCATCATACCAAGACGGTCATCGCTGCCCACGTACTTGAAAACATCGTCGACGTTTTGACCACCGGTACCCAGGACGCGCCATCCTTCGAGCTCAGCTTCCCAAGGGTTTGTAACGGTATCGAACCAGGCTGGTTGGTCGTCTGAGGCAGCTGGGTCGCGAGTGTAAGCTCGTGCGGCAGGAAACATTGCCGGATGCACAGGCTGCTGCGGGTAACTAGCGTTCGCAGGATCCTGGGCACCCGGAAGCATTGTAACGGGGATAGAGGGGAGGAGCTCAGCGACAAAAGAATCAAAGAGTTGAGAAGGAAGAGGGTTATAGGCACTGGCGTCGTAACCATACTTCTTCTGGCCCTTCTTTTCTGGGAGCGCTTCATCTGCAGCGGCAGGTTTGCGGTCTGTTGTTGAGATCGAGTTTCCAGCGATGATAAGACGGCTGATGTGTGAGATGTCGATTTGATTTGATGAGGCCAGGGCTTCACCAAGCAGATACTCAAGAAGCAGATCAAGCTCAAGAGCGTAGGAAGCGTCAGTGCCCGAGAAAGATAATCCAGACACAATGGCAATCTTCTTGTTGCCCTTCTTCTTTTCCGAGGCGTCTGTCATCTCTTCATCTTCATTCTCCGTCTTGTCCTTGTCCGCAGCAGGCTTTGAGAGGCTCCAACGTTCCGGTTGAGGAGGTAGGTCGGGGAATTTGATATCGATGACTTCGAGTTCTCCGTTGGCATTTTCGGTGCCCACAACCCCGATAATGCACCCTGTCACAAGGTTTATTGTCTTGAGCAGGTCACCAACCAGTCTGATACGACCCGACTCGTCCTCTAGCATAACCTGATCATCTTCGGAGAAGTATTTGGGTGTCGAGATGGGAGCGGAGATCCAGCGCTATGCATTCGAGTTAGCGCTTCATGAATTAGGAGTAGATGAGGGGAGACGTCGTACGTCCTTGGACACGTCCTCCAGAATATTCGGCTTAAGGGGCATCTCCATATATACGGTGCCTGTCACCCAGCATAGCTCTCCCTGACGGACATCGAGCACCCGTTCAACCCTTTGGGCTTCCTCATCACCAATAGTAGTGCCATTCCATGCCGCGGCGGCTACTTGATCGACAGCTGGCTTAATCTTTGTAAGACGCAGGAAGTACATGTCTCCATACTGTTGCTTGTAGGAACGTTGCTTGTCGAGGACGAAGGATTGCAGGGGTTTATAGGTGGAAGCACTCCGGGAAGGAACTTCGTGGGCAGCATCACTGTAGTTTTCTTGATTAGATTGTCGTCGTAACGAATAATGAGCAATCGGTAGAACTTACGATGGCTTCTGCAAGAGACTGCCCTCGACCTCTTCGAGGGTCACCATATTGGAGAGTGCCGAGATATAGGAACAGAATGGAGGATACGAGCTTCAGGGTTGGAACAAGCTGATTCATTCGAGCCTCATTGACTAGTTATAAATGTGTTGGTGAAACGTCTCGATATTGTGCAATTGGCTTGATCTGTCGTCTCGTCTAGTGCAGGAAAAGGCGTGGAGAAGCTCTGGTCCGCGACTAGACGCGTTCTGGCGTAAAGTGGCTAGGCAACGGATAAGGGACCGATAGCGGTTCCTGTTAGGGAATGACGTGCTGGATCTTGGGCGGTGAGCCCACTAAAGGGAGTACCCTCAAGTGTTGAACTTGGAGGGGTCATCCAGCTTCCCGTCCATCGTGATACTGGAGGACAGCCAAGCCCGTCCCAGCTTCAAATAGAACTAGATATTTGATATCTTGAAAGCAACACAAGTGTGTCACAAAAAATACAATGCCATAACTAAATCATATACATACACGGTAAAATATAGAATCGTTGGAAAGGTTGGACCCCACTGGAATCTGATGTTTATCGGACCCCGCCATGTACCGGTCGAGACGGCATTCTACTGTAGTACGGTAGGTACTATTAGTAGTCTGTAGAGGGGGAGGGAAATCTCTGACGCACCATCTCATCCAATTATATAACTTCATACTTTTGATAAACCAGACTACTTAAAGAACTATTCTCTTCGCAAACTTCTCTTTGATTCTTCATACTTGACCGGTCTCTCGTCTGTTCTGTCACAAAACATCTCAACGTCATCACTTCCTGCGCTCATCATGGCTCCTCCCAAAGCTCCTCGTGTTGAGGTCAACAACCTCTCATACACGTTCCCCGACTACTCAACTGGCATCAAGAACATCACCCTTGACCTTCCTCCGCGATCCCGTACTCTTCTCATTGGTGCCAACGGTGCTGGTAAGACGACCCTGCTTCGTCTCCTCGCTGGCAAGCGTCTTGCACCTAGCGATACCATCTCGATCTGTGGAGTTGATCCTTTCAAGGAGGGTCTTGAGGGCGTCACTTATCTCGGTCTCGAATGGGTTCTAAACCCTATTGTCCGAACTGACATTGGTGTGAATGAGTTGCTCCGTTCGGTTGGTGGCGATGCCTACCCTGATCGTCGAGATGAGCTTGTGGCCATGCTCGATGTCGACACCAACTGGCGCATGCACGCTGTCTCCGACGGTGAGCGCCGCCGTGTCCAGCTTGCCATGGGTCTCGTGCGGCCCTGGACTGTTCTGCTTCTCGACGAGATCACCGTCGACCTCGACGTTCTAAGCCGTGCCGAGTTCCTTGCCTGGCTCAAGCATGAGACGGAGATCCGAGAGTGCACCATCGTCTACGCTACCCATATCTTGGACAACCTTGCTGGTTGGCCCACTCACCTCGCCCATATGCACCTTGGTACTGTCAAGGAGTGGGATGAGGCTGACAAGATGCTTGCTACCATCGACGGAACTGTCGGTCACTCTGGCAACAGTCGTCTTGGAGAGCTCGTACTGAGCTGGCTTCGAGATGACCTGAAGGAAAGAGGACCACGAAGCGGTGCTAACCGCGGCCCCGAAGGCAAGACTTACGGCTTCGGAGGAATCCAGATTGGTGGCTATGGCGACGAGTCCAAGCAGCGTCAAGCATAAGTACCGCCTACACGTCTTTATTTGAGGAACCTCTATCGATGCATTCTTAACAATGTACTCTGGTTTTATTTTATTCTTTAGTTGGAGTTTGGCAAGATCGGTGGCACTCAACTGCATTGTTTCTTTTTTGGCGTGGTCAGTAGGAAAAGGAAGAGGGAAGTGATATTTGGCACTCACCCATGGCGTTCGATTCGATGGGAAACAGTCCTCAACCCTGTATTCTACGGCGTTTGATCTTCTTCAACAGTTTATGCATGACAATGAGCGCGGAATCTGGTTCTTGAATGTGCTTCTTATAGCATTGTTGATACCCTGCATTCCAACCAAGGGGGATTAGACTTTGGTCACTTCAACCGGACAAGTCTTACGAATTTAGTTAGACACAAAACGATGGTATATCAACCCCAGTCTCATGTCTCATCATTGCGTCGCGGTTGGTCTCGTGCTTCCCTCGCCGTCTATCAATTTTCTCAAAATCGTCATTGTGTTCTTCAGGAGGTCTGTGATACCAGCGAGCTCCTTTGCGCTAAGTTCCTCCAATACCTTGATGCGATAGTCCTGCCATGAAATACGGATCCCGCCAGAACTTGCCAGCTGTCCAAGACTGCTTTGTGTCGGTGGTCCCTCGTGTCTGACACGCAGGGGTGTGTCACTGTTGATCTCAGCATTCTCGAGACTCTGAATACACCGAGTGCTCTGTAAGCACAGGAGCGGCGAGTATGATAGTGAGAATAGTGATGTAAGAGTTTGGGATGTATCCACAACATTCACGTATGAAGAGAGTTTTGGGACAAGGCTTCTTGGGACCAAGCAACCTTGTGCGTTTGGGTCGCTGTCGGTGAAGGCCTTGCCTCTCCAAAAGCAGTTACACATGTCCATAAGATACCCGTTGAAAAGGCTCACAAAAACCCTATTATATGATGCCGAGTCAATACGGTTGCTTCCGTCGCGCTTTGGTTTTGTTAACATGGCCATCTCGAATCCTTTCTTATACGAGGCGAGGATGGCACAAATACGCGATACAATGGCGACAGAACTGCTAAAAAAGAGTATGTAGATGAGATGAGACGGCGGCAGCTCAATTCGAATGTAATGCTTCAAGGTTTCGTGGCTGACGAGTCGAGAGTTTTGCTCATAAAAGTCAAGGATGGCAGAGCGTGCTGAGACCGAGGTGGATGTTTGGGCGATGCTAAGAGCCAGAGGGTTGACGTGCCGGATCAAGTCTGTAATAGCATCACTAGCATTATCCGGTATAGCTTCACTGGATTCAAGAACGACCATCCAGTGATGGAGGAGATGCTTGTATAAGTTGAGGACCGCCAGTTGGGATTCAGGGGTATTGTCCAATGTGGCATCCTCGAGAGGCTTGAGGATGTGTTGGTATAGTTCTGGCGGGAGTTAGTCATACAAGCGGAATGAGAGTGATCAAGACGAACTTTGGAAATCAATTAGTGGGGAATAAGAAAAGATAGTGAACATCGAATCGCGGTGTTGAGAGCTGTCCCAGAGTGGAAGAAACCCAGCAAAGAAGTCGAGCAGGACGGGAGGTAAGGTCTGCAGGCCGTCAGTGTCAAATTAGAGGAAATTATAGAAACAAGCAGACCTTGGTCGAGATGACATAGTCTCGGAGAATATCTAATAGCTCAAAGAAAGTGGCTTCATCCGCATCGCCATCTTTTACATCCTGAAGAGCTGAGCTGAGCCAATTTGCTATTCTTTGGTCAGACTCCATGCTTGGTCGCAGAACCATGAGCTTTTGTAGCAATGGATCTGCTAAGACAGCAACTAGCTGATTGGGCAGTTCTAGCTTGTCGAGATTCTTGACGAAGCCAACTGCATTTTCGATTTCCTCAAGTGTGACGGCGTCCTGATAGTGTCAGTAAAGATTCGTCCTTAATCGCTCTGGTATTCACAAACCTCCGTTACATGAGACGTGTGTACAAGCGGAATGGTCTTGTTTCGGGCACCACGACCAATAGGACGATGAACACGGAAACCATCTCTTGGTTTAGATATGCCTTCTTGTGACTTATAAAAGTGTGCCTCTTGAATCTCGTCTAACCTATCTCGCCATTGCGGATCGGGATGCTAGCAACATGTTAGTAAGAGAATCTTCGATCACTATTCGATGCATACCTTGAAGGATAACGCTTTGCCACGAACAACCTCTCCCACAATAACCTCTGGGTAATAGTCTTTGAAGACTCTTAGAAGACCAATCAAAGAAGGATCGTTTCCTGTTTGTCTTGAGAGGTTAAGCCTGGACTATGTAAGTCAGTAGTAAGGATAACGATGGCTGATACTCACAAAGCCTGAATTCTAAAAGGTCGAACGTGCTTGCGCCGTGTGATAAGAGCAAGAAGATGACTCAAATTGGGACTGAGACGCATTAGCACAAAGCCTGTCATTGGGAAGATTGGGCTTACCGAGTGGCTGCAGTATTAAGGAGATTGAACAGAACAGGGTACGCCTGAGAGAGCACCTGTGGTGACTCTAAAGTGTGGTGTACTGTAATAAGCCACTTGATGAGAGCCGCCTGCAGTGTCAGAGACGGCTTAAGCGTCCCGTGACCAAGACAAGAGACGACACGAAGCACAGAACCTCGAGAGACAGCTTCAACGGGGTAGAGGTTTCTGATGATAGCAGCCTGGCTTGCTTGGTCCAGATGATTTGGTGTTGTAACGAGGTTGATGAGACTGTCGAGAGTCTCGGGTAAGAGACCCCATTCATAAGAAAGAGAGGTAAGGTTGGCGATGGTAGGCTTAACACTGGACGCGCGTGTTTTGGCTGGTATTTTGGCCGCTGTGTATGTCGTGAGTATGGAACATGTATTTTGTCATGACAAACCAAACTCACATTCAATAACATCACCCACGAGGAGACGAAGCTCTTCCTGGCCCGCCGAGGCGGGATCGATGTCTGTTTCCATGCGTTGCTTGTGTGAAACTGGCTATCTCGTTTTGATGCTTGATGTATAAACGTCACTTAGAGAGGGCAAGGATGTATAGTACGGGCTCCGGAGCCGAGCGGCAGCTATCGGGGTTTAGGTTGTGTGGTAATTGTTGCTGTGAATGAGTGGGACGCGTCGGCCCAAAGAGGCGCGTTTTCGGTTTTCGGTTTTCGGGGGAAGGTGGACCTCATAGGTCGGGGTGGGGCCTATATACAGCTTCCGTCTGTCACTGTCTGTGCTGTGCCTACTATTGATCCCAGCTTTACATTACAGACTATCTTCTAAAACGTACGATAATAATACCTATTATAGCAGCAGTGGAGATTGGAATATAAGACTCCGAGTAGAGCTTGTGAGTATTGCGATAACCAATCCGTCTTTCTCGGCTTGCCGTAATCTGTTGGCAGGTAACTTGGTCGAGATACAGGTGTCTACAGCTTACAGGTAGGCACACCCAGGTAGCTGCCCGGCTACAGTACCTTCCATAGTATTGTTTCTAGATGGATACTAGCAATGCCGTGAGACGTTGGACAAACGAAAGCTGCCGGAGCTTAATCTAACCTTGAGCCATTTTTGTTACAGTAGTCATTATGCTGTATACTAAAACTACCTACAACCCTGGGCCTAAAGATGGTACTATCGTTATTAGTTCAACTATCTTGGCGATTAGGATTTCATTGGTAGGTACCCGACCATTCGAGATGTTCTATCCAATGCGACTACCTAGACCAGTAAGGATGCCCGGGCTTCGGCAGTGCTGCCCTCTGACGATCATTTGGCCGCGGCATCAGCACCTACTCTACTACGTACTAGTACGGCAATGTAAATACCTGATTTGAGTTTCATTTTGCATCGTTTGGGGGCTTGTTGACGCTATAAACTGGTAATCGCGGGCCGTTCCTGCCGTAAAGCTTACTCTACAGTTTCTAACGCTCTTACCTACCTACTTACCTACCAACAAAGATAGTACGCGGGCACGAAGTACTCAAGGGAAGGTACGAGTATGAATCGTTCCGTAGTGCCTTCCGTCCAAATCCTCGGGCATGATTGTTGAAAAAGAGGTTAACAACATTCTCTTTCCTTTCTCTTAACATGTCAAGTCGCCTCATCCTCCTCATGTCTCATCTTTCTTCCTCCGTTGGAGCCATGGCTACTACGACACTAGGTATCCCTTGACTTGGGCTCTTTGTACCCGATATCGATAGGCTTACCAGAGCCGTGGCTGACACTTGGGTTCGCTTCCAACAAACATACCCTACTACGTAACCCAGGAAAAGACATCTCCATGGCAGTACAGCGGTCAAACTTCCCCTCCGCCCTATGTATGTATACGACTACTACCGCGAATCTATCAATGCAACACTTTTGGAGCCGCCCACGCGCGCATGAGCACGGTCTTGTTATACCCTGATCCATCAGACTGAGCACAGATCCTTACCAACAAACTATCTACATGCCCGCATTACTCAAGAATGCCTCCAACACGCCAGCATGAACGATTGACCAATCCCTTCTGCTGAATATCCCTACTTGGCTGTTGTTCGGCGAGGTCCAGGACCGGAATAGTTGAGTAAAGCCAGCGGTCATCAAGGGACATACGGATACGTCTTCGTTTCTTGGTCGCTCACCTACCTCCCTTTCCAAAACACGTTGCGTAGCGTCTGTGAACCGCGCTGCAAACAACGAATGTGCCATCCTATGTCACTACATACCTATGGTACATCACTATTCTGCAACCAAATCTCCCGTTTACCGACGTGCATCTTCGTGTCACCACCAAGCAGCCTTGAGCAGGCGCAGTTCAAACCCACCGTCACCGTGTTACCGATCCTCGCCTTCGGCAACCCCAATTTGTCGATTGAATCCCACACGAATGAGATGCTCTCCATGCCACGAGTCCATGACCACCAACTGATCTAGGCCAAGGCCGATATTTTTGGTCGGGTAACCCTGCTCGATCTATCCTGGCAACTGGAGAGGTCACTGTGTAGCCCTGGCGCTTCATGGCGGCTGATTGCAGATAGCAATTCATGTCGCAGCCTTCGTCCCATCAACCCCACACTCATTTAAACCCTCCTCCCAGTGCTTTGGATGGCTGACCGACTGCGCAGGACCCCAGCAGGCGCCCTAGGTCATCGTCGTCACGAACCCGCATTTATAGATCATTGATTTGCTTATCTTCCACCTGTTCGGGCTCAAATGAATAGGCAGTCTATTTCTCTCCTTTGTCCCTTTCCCTGCCTACCTGGCTTGACTCAAAATCCGGCTTATATGAGTTTCGAAACCGTCGACTGGTCCCTACCGTTGCACAACCTGCCTCGCCAATAACGACAATCAGATATAAATCTCTTGAACTGCAGACAAACTGAACTATCGCCTACGGTTCTTCGTCACTCTCTTTGTCATCAGTTGCAAGCACCCTTTGAAAGCTGATTCATGCCTAAGGGGGTTGGGTGCTTGTGGATACCGCACACTTAACCGGGATAGACACAAGCAACAGTCCAAACGGCCATGTAATTGCACTGCTGTTGATATTTCATACGCCTGTAAACAATGTCAGATCCCCAAAATCAAAGCTCACTGGCTACTTTGTTATGGGACCACCAGAACCTGATCCCTCTACAGAAGAACCTTGTGGACGGGGATTTGGTTCTACTATTAACTCCTGCTGTGGTTCCCCTGGATCCAGCTCTTCCCAGTTCAACTGATCCTTTTCAGCCTCTTGGCAAAGCATTGGAGCAGTCATATCCCTTCATCAGACACGTTCCATATACCAAAAACTCCGGCATCACTGGTACACATGTGGCATTTATCAAGAAAGCGCGAACTATCATCTTCGTGCTCAGTGTGTTCTCATCTGATGAGGGTACTTTTCAACTAGAACTCACCGATATGGTTCGAGAAGTATGTGAGGAGCGCCCTTTTGTTCTAGTGGCATGCTGTGAAGTCTCTCAGGACAGGGCCCGAGAGTACGAGTTTCAGACTGTAGTGCAGTGTTCGGGATATTTCGTGTCCGATTTGCAGGCGGTCGCCGCTGTTTTGACCACGGAACTATCAACGACTGCCGCTAAGTCAATGTCCAGCGACCTTCCTCCTTCACCCAGTTGGTCACTTGTTGGATGGGACTTTAATACAGATCTTCCCGAGATACATACCTTGTGGGAGGCATCTTTCCCCTCCAAGTTCCGTCTGGATCGTGCAGCTCTTGGTTCCGCCCTGAAACGCGATGGGTATGCGATGCACTATATCGTCCGGGAACCTCAGAATGGGAAGGTTATTGGATTCTGCGCTACGTTTACGACATACATAGATAACAGCGCCGATCGCTTGATTGGATCAATAGCAGCCATCATTGTTCACGAGAACTATCAGGGTCAAGGCATCGGTCGTATGCTTCACAATGAAGTTGTGAGCAAACTCAGCAAAATTCGAGGAGTCAGCATTATACAAATCGGTAGCACATTTCCAAGACTGTTTTATGGGTTGCCAGCTCATGTGACCAATACGGAATGGTTCGAGAAACAAGGATGGAAGTTGAAGGAGTCTACTAAGCCTGGTCATGGTCGACTTGTTCTAGATTGGCTCTTGAAATTCGCCGATACTCCGATGCCTGATTTAGCTTCAGCCGGTTTGACATTCAGATCCTGCCAGCTCTCTGATTACCAGCAGGTCATAGATATTGCGACTAAAGAGTCACAGAGGAGATTTGGGTTCGGATGGTATGACCAATATGCCAGAACTATGGACAGTTCCTATATTAATGACGTTGTTGTTGGTCTTGAGGGAGACAACTTGGTCGCGGCAGCAATCACTTACTTCCCCAACAATGGGAGCCCCTGCGGTGCAGATATCCCATGGCCGGCTGCAATAGGACAAGGAATTGGGGGTGTTTCGTGTATCTGCATCAAAGGTAAGTTGCTAGGTTCGTGATGAATTGTACTAATTATCCACCAGATGAAGATCCTGACATGGTCAATCGTCGAGACTCAGTAGCAACTAGACTGCTTCTTGCTTGTCGTCAGACTCTGAGCGAAAGAGGGATGGTGGGGATGTTTGTTGACGGCAGTAGGCATGATGAGAACGTGTTGCAGTCTTTAGGTAAGGAAAACCCGGTCCCCTTGCCTGCGTTTTCTCACCCCAAGCTTTTCCAGGGTTCAGCAAATGGGCGGAGTATAAAGAGGTATGGCGTAAAGTCTAAGCATGAAGATGCTCTTCTATCTACGTCAGGAGCTATGAATAAGCGCGACCGGCAACCTCATCCAGAACGTAGGTGTGGGAGAGATGCTGGGAGAGCTGCGATCCAGGTACTGGTCAAGAAGGATGTCAAACAAATTCGAACCGGAACCGGAACCTTCGAGTACAACTTCGCAGGCAATTCTTTTTCGATGTTGTCTGAAAACCCTGGTTGCCTAAACACTGAATCGACATCTTCGCCCCGTATGGCAATGGATTATCTCATTATTTTCACTCTGCATCACACATGCTCATCACCAAGATTCGCATCTAGCTAACCCCTCCGCGAACTGCACATGTTCTGCTTTACCTTGGACGCTGTGCTTTTTTATGGGTTTAATTAGCTCATCGGAAAGCGGAAATCCGAGATACAACCCCGGAAAACCAGATGACATGCACTAAATGGCCATACTGGAGAGCAGCAGATATCTTGATTTTGCTATGAGACTTCCTGTTTGGCCAAGGAAAGAATGCTCGCCATACTGATCGATCACAGTGGCCAAGAAGGAACAAGAAGAATCCCGGGATGTGCTACTGATACTGATCATCAACACGGAACTTCGTTCGAGTAAAGCGACTCTAGACCCATACTGTGATAATCGCTTTGGAAAGCTACGTGGCTGACAAGGATGTCTAGCGTCGGCTCCAGTCTGTAGTAGATTCACCATGGACGAGAATTCACCGGCCGTCTTGCTTCCCACATACGATATATCACACTTGACCCGATAGGTATCAAGCCTACTACTATACGCACTGCTCATACATGTTGAATATACCAGTCATATTGCGGGAAGGCCTTGTATTGATCACTTGCTCTCAATCAGCTACTGTCTAGCTTACGGGGGAGCGGTATCACCAAAATCACCAAGTCTGGGCAGCTTGCTATATTTCTATTACTACCCCAAGTGGTTCCTCACACAGAGGATCCTCTACTATTGGCTTTGCTGCTTATGTTACCTCCAAGCTGGACGTTGTTTGTCTGATAAAGGTGCCGCAATCAGTTAAATGAGTCTTTTTGTGTACCCACATTATAATGCAGAGGGCAAAGTATCCTACCTATGTACAGTACCAAGCAGGTGAAGGATTTATGATTCTTGCTTTGTTTGGCTCCTTCATCCGCGCATGCCATACTTGTGTAACTATCACCTTTGGTAGATCTTCTCACCATATACCATTCTAGGCCGTCAGCCACACCATGCAGTTGTGCAGCAATGTGGTTTAAGGCAATGGGATGCGCCAATGAGCCAAACAAAATCCGGCAATGGAACATACAAGTCTTAGTGAACTCCGCAATCATTACACAACAGCTTCTCAACCACGCGACGTCGCACAAAACGACACGGAAACAACATTGCATTGCATCGGCTGACCAGGTCGGATGAGTTTTAGCCATGGGTCCATGATCACATGTAGACTTTTAAAAATGTGATTTGGACTTAAGAAATTTCCTGGTTAATGCATACTATGCGGGAATGCCAAGCTGGGATAACCACCATATGTTGATGCCTTCTCGCAGAGTAAAACTGGTCTACTTTGAGTAACGCATAGCTCAAGGGTATATATAACACAAATAGATCCATCAGCAGAAACGGAAGAAACAAACATACTTGGAAACAGGGATATGAAGACAAAAATCAAGGTTAGACCCAAAAACAAGAACTTTTGATAACACCCCCAGGATACCCTTACGTAGATGGACGCCTCCCACCTTTTCAAATGACATGATGAATTTCCTTCTAGTAGTACAACTCCTTTCTTGCCTTTTCCACATCCCATTCATTATCGCATTGCTTAGGCCCATTTGGAAAAGTCAACAGTGTCGGTGTGTGTGTCCTGTCCGTGTGATGTCCCGATTTCAGTGTCATTGGTCGTGGTGGAGGACGATAACATTGAAGATCGGTGCGAGGTCTGCTCACTTGTACTGGTGAAAAAGGTGGCTACGCTTGTGCGACGGAGGCTAGTGAAACTATCGCGGACGGTACTTGCCGGACGCGACGAAGTCGCATCACTCTGCGGTAGAAGCTGCTGCTGCTGCTGATGGACTGGGGTCGTGCCCCCTAGAGAAGAGCTCTGCGAGGCTGAAGGTGTGACTTGCCCCGATTTAGAAGGCATATATTTCTCTCGGAGTCTCTTGATGGCACGTAGACGACTCCTCCAGGAGCTGACGTGCTCACCACCTTCGCGATTTGCCCAGACATGGGAAAACACGGAGGCATTGAGGGCTAACAAGCGGATCAAGCCTGGTAGGGCTTTGAGCGACACGATCTTCATCTCCGAGGCCGGCGATATCTCAGGGAAGCCGGGTTTGCTTAGAACTTGTACGCGATAAAAGGGCTGGCTATGCTCTGAAGTTTCTCTAGCAGCAATAAACGAGGCCCTGGACGCTGGCGTGATGACAATATGAACGAAGTTGAAGTCGCCTGGGAACGTGTCGAACTTGAAAGGCAAGCCCGAGTCGTTGAATACGATGTTGACAAAATCATTTCCAATGTGTCGTTTCTTCATAGTGCACCGCGGGTCATGATCCATGTTCGTAGGCATCTGTGTCGTGACATGAAATACGATTTCTGTGACACGGTCCCGCCAGCAGAAAGTGTACTGGCCGTCTGTATCGAATTCCCGATCCAATCCATGAGTGTTAAAGGTTGCTCCTTTAAGCTTCGTCAGAGTTCCAAGATTATTGAGAAACTCCATGTAATCACTGCTGCCAGAGACGTTGCCAAGAATCTCAACCTCGTCGGTCTGCCCTTCCCCTATGTAGATCACGCCAACTTTGTGACCGTCAACGGTTGAGCTTCGATCAAACACACGAATAGCCCTGTCAACAGTGTCATCTTCAGGAAGCGGTATAGGTCGTGCTAGATCATTGCCTTGCGGGATGGACGACATGAGTTGTACCATGATGTGGCTGGGTAAGATGGTGTTGGTCGAAACCTGTCCCTCTCTGCTAATGTCGACATAGTTGGGGGTTTGATGTGGCGGTGGTGGATCGAATGTCTCTCGAATCGTGAATGCAGAGGTGCCTGAAGGTTGTCTTTTGACAATCTGAGCCCAGCCTGTCGTTGTTGCTTGCCGTACAGTAACGATGCTGTATCCGACTAACCAACGCTTCTTAAGAATCTCGCCAAATCGATCAGACGTGAAGAGGGGATCTTGAGAAGACTCTTCCACATCGGCATATGTATACCTTTGCATAAAATCGATTGAGGTGAGTGCTTGTTCATTATCGGTGCTGCCATCCTCGACTTCATTATAAATGTTCCTGACAAGCCAGCCAACTAAGTTGGCGCGATCAGGCAGTTTCAATGCCAGGAACCAAAAGAGAATGACGTGATATGCCAGTGCATAAACATATTGGGGTAGATCATCTGTTGCGCTTGGGTGTACAGCGTCCGAGATACTCGCTGATGAGGCAGCTGGCGTCGGTGGCTCACTCGCATGGCTGTTTCTGTTGGAGCCTTTTCTGTCCCTCACCGACTGTAGATAGCGAATGCATATACCAAACACAATCTTGTACTCCTCTTCTCGGAAATTTACATATACGTGGTGCAGACGGCTGAGGCAGGCCAGAAACTCGAGAATATGAATCGAAACGTGGGGTTGTGTGATGATGGTAGACATCTTAGTCAACAGCTGAACCAGTGATTTGCTTGTTGAGAGCGGCAGCTCGTGACAACATATAGACAACGCGTGGATGCAGCATTTGGCACTTCGTTCCCAGGTGGCAATGCCATGCACGAAGGTTTTGACAATCTCGTCCTCGTCTCCTTTCTGGAAGTGATCGTGGTAACTCAGTATCATGGTCAGACTGTGGAAAAGACAAATCGCCACATCAGCCCGCCGCAAGCCGGACGCGTTGGGCGGCTCTTGAAACGAGTTGGTTCTGACCTGCTCACAGATAAGTCTTCGAAGCTCTTGTATCTGCGGAATGGCGTCCCTAAAGATGGCGTGATTGCTCAGCTGCGACGGCAGATGGACAAGGGCAAAACTGTAAACCTCCCAATCGCTGCCATGAAGAAGGCCCAAGACCGCCTCTAGCCAGGTAGCAATGTCGAGGGCGACAGTCCTAGCGTCGCATGCTTGTTTTTCGGTCGTTTCTTTTGTTTCCAATTCTTCGGAGTCCTCCCGTGTTTGCTCGCCTTCCGTCTCATGACGGTGGGAGACTAGAACGGGGCTGAAAACGCCTGTGACAGATTCAGGGAGAGCCTCAGGGTCAGGGAGACTCCAAAGCTGGTGATATCTGGCCGGATTACCGGCACTCCCCATCAAGCCACTCCCAGCAGCAACACTGGCAGATCGCATCGGCATACCCCTTTCACCTTGACTAAACGAAACACCACGAGCAGACCTGGACGACCCGCCATGCTCATTCCGTAGTAGTCGGATAGACTGTGCAGTTTCTTCGGCCTGCTTCTTCGCGCGGGTTTCCGGTGTTCGACACAAGGTCGGGGCAACGAAATTAGTTTCGAGGGTCTTTGTAATAAAGACACGGTTAGCCCAGTCAGCACGAAGTCTGAACAAAAGTTTCATAGCCGTCAATCGAGCATCGACTTCACATTGACTCGATTTAACAATGTTGATCAGCGCATGATATAACCTCAGAGACTTCTCAGTGTCGAAGTCCATAGTTTGGACGAACATCTTGACATAGCCTTTGGCTACCACGTTTGAGGGAGATTGTTGCGGCATGTGGTCGTCGGAGATAGCTTGCGCGAATGGATTGGGAGATGTCGATGATGAAATCGGCGACTTTAGTCGATCACCAATTACTATGCTCCGCAAGGCATCAATGATGTAGTCGAATAGTTCCATGTCACAGGACACTACAACAGGGACCATGAGCGACATTATGCCCTCAAGGACGATAACGTCACTTTCTTCGGCAACATCTTGAAGGACACTCTTGGCCAGCTGTGGAATGAAGCTTTCTTCGGGATCATCGCCCACTAGATCTACGACTTCATAAGCGTCCATAATCGTTTCCAATGCCCGAAGTCTGATCTGAGATGACCGATCTCTGTTGCCGAAGAAGCCTTTGAGAACCAAGGCCAGATTCTCTTCCCATTGGAGATCTGAGGGCGAGCAGCATCGGAATTGTTGAAAGTAGTTCAGAACTGAAGACGCGGTCTCGTCGGGAAGAAACTGATGAACTTCGGTGAGGAACGAAACGACACTTCCCCGCGGAACAAACAAATCAGATTTTTGATTGATGAGAATATCGAGCCTCTTAATAAGAGTAATGAGTTCACGGCTCAGCCCTCCTTCGGGTTTGTCGTCTCTGACAGGGCTACGAAGACCGTCGGATTCATGGAGTCCTGGAATGGCGCGTCGGGAGCAAGTTGCGGCAGCCTCCAGGATAACTGACCAGTCTTCGTCGACTATCAGACGATGCATGTTTCCATCTCCATCGTCAAACAGAGCATTCAAAAGCTGGAGAATGGCAGTCAAGGTTTTGATAGAGGTGCCGGTCCTTGCGATAATAGCGAGTCCGTCGGCCAACAACGCGAAGGGGACACTTGGATAACCATTCTCTGGGTTCTTGGAAAGGACTTTCTGCAGTACAGCCAGAGCTCCACGTATCTCCCTATTCACGTCCTTCTCCTTGGCACCATCCGAAGGGCTATTTCGCAAAATGTCCAGTAGGATACGGATGGTCGCCTGTCCGTTGTGACTCTTGAAGAGATTTGAGAGCGTGTTCCATGCATCCTTCTGGAGGCCCCCTACCATGCAATATATAGAGCCGAGGACTTGAACGCAACCTTTTAGTTTGTCCTCCGGGATAGACCCAAATGTTACAATAGCATCAATGACTGCTATGCTTGACCTGAGGTCGTCTTCCACGCTAGTACTCATGCAAATTGCTAGTAGTCGGTCAATCAATCCCGATACAGCCGATGCGTCTGCATTGTTGAAGCTGAATTTGATAACGTCGACGAGAAAGCCGAAAAGCTGAGCCAGGTTCTTTTCCTCGCCCGAAGCTACGATACGATTTCGAGATGGACCCTTTGAGCTCTTGGACGCTTTCCTCCTAGCCACGCGCACTGCATTGTAAGACTCCCAAAGCCAGTTGGTTAGCAGGGGAATGAGCTCGTAATCAAAACCTGTCAAGACACGGCCCCGTCGAGTGAGGTGCACAAGAGCAGCCAATTGTAAATGAAAATCTTCAGGGTTCGCAGGAGCTGACAGCGTCGTGAAATACTCTTGACGCTCGAGATCGGAAGAAGCGTCGTGCTTCACGCATTCTGTCAAAAGCTCCCAACCGGCAGTCCGTGCCGAGGCAGGCTTTGCGGGATCGATGAGGTCCTTTGCAGCATACCAAATATCCAGAACAGGATTTAGGGGGTATTCAGCAATTGCATATCTCAGCGAATTGGCGGCGGCAATGCGTTCATTGGGAGAACCGTTTTTCAAAAGCTCGAAAGATTCCATATGACTGGTAGATAGCCCATGAGGTGGGTTCGACGAAGCTGCCGGGGGAGCATGGACGAACTCAGCAGTCGGCACGGCGGTCGTAGACGAAGGCGATGCTATTGACGGCGACGACTTGGAGAGCTTGGAACTTGTTAGACCCCGCAGAACATGGGCAAGACCACCCTGCCGGGACGTATCTGGGGATGATGGACCATCTCCTGGCTGCGGTGACATGTGCTCGTGTGGATTTTCGTTGGGGTCTGAGTGACTAAGTGAGGCTAGACGGCGCAGCATGTTAGCAAAGGAACTGAAGCCTGCACACTGAAGGCTGCGTCATCGGTAAGGCAGGACAGGTCGGTCGATATGAAGCAGGAAGGCAATGGATCAAATAGACAGGTGACAAGAATTTGACTGGTAGGCACACAAAGTAGCGAAGAGCTCAGATGTTGAACAAGGCGGTTAGACGAGACAGAGCAGAGTGAATGTCTTATATCGTATCGTATTGTATCGTGAGTAGGCAGGTAGTGTGGGTGCGTGCGACAAACGGAACGGCGTCTCGGATGTAGTGTGCAGATGCAAGTAGGTACGAGATGGACGGACGGTGCGGGCGAGTCTCACCAGCGAAACATGTACTACCTAGGCCTAAGATGGGCCTGTGAGAGGTTGTCGATGTGAGCGGTTTGAGGCGTGTTCATTAAATGATCAGTAGAAGTGGATTGCGAGAATCGATAGCACAGCGTGAGAGAGGATATGTCCGGTCGATGTCAAATCAGGAAAACGAGTGTGACAATGATGATAGCGATAAGTAAGTTGAGCCAGGTCCAATCCAACAGCGCGGAGGTGGATAGAGGTCCGGGTCTGGTAGACAAGACGGCGGGGCGAGCGGGCAGATCGGCGGAATAGAAAGGCGAAATGCAAAAAAAGTCAGGACAGTACCGGTTAGCGCATGAGGCGGTCTGTCGATCAACAATTGGGCTATGATAGCATAGACGTGTAGAATAAGCGAAGCGATCAAGACGAAGAGAAGCGAGGCTGGTGGATGAGGAGAGGGAAAGAAGAGGAGGAAGGAGAAGAAATGAGAGGGAGGTTGGAATCTAGAAAGATGGTGGTTAGGTTCTGTTCTACTGAACCTACCTGCCTACTAGGTACTATCCAACGAGAGAGTCAACCCAACGCAACCCAGCTAGCTAACTCAAGGTAGACAGTCCAGCTCAGCAAGAGCGGTAGCTACAGTGCATGATACCAGATGCAGGGCAGATCGATTAAGCAAGCTCTCAGCTAATAGAAACCTCGATTACTCCTTACTTAAGCTAAAATGGCGTGGACGGATGATCCCTTGATGACTTTTTAATGGCTGCTCGACAAAGCACGCGAGTAGCCCAGGGATTTCATGTACGCCATGCCACCAAGCTGTAGGCGGTAAGGTACAAGACTTCAATCGCGCCAATCCCGAACAATGGAAGGGACCCTGAGGCCATAGAGGGAAAGCAGCTACGGCGTACCTGCAGTGTTGTGTTGTGTTTTGTTGAGGTCGTATCCAGGTGTGTTTTCGTTAAGCAGAGTGGGAAATGTTTTTTGATTCGTTTTCACTATTCGATCTGAGAAGATACTAATAAGGTATGAAGTGTATGTTTCCATTGCGAACAATTTGCTCTATATGGATCTGAACTTTAATACAGAGTATCCGTACATAAGTGCCTATTAACCTTCGGCCAATCACGTATCTTAATTTTCATCGCAGAGAGTGCACTCACTTGATATCTTGGACTATACTACACATGTGAATACCTCGATATCGCCTAATACCGAGCACTGCTAAGAGTTTTCCTATAAGGACCGCTCATTTTGGCTCCATGAGATGAACAATGCCTGTCGAATCTCGAATATTCCATGAGAAGCCAGAACTTGGGAGAGTCCATTCCGGACGCCTCGTCAGCGTCAGGGTGTCGGAAGAATTGGTTGCTAATAAGAGTATAAGAAACGAAATGATTTGACCATCTTATGCGAGGTTAGAAAAGCACTTGGGCTACTTTGTTTTGACACACTAAGCCTTGGAGGATAATTCTTTTGTTACCTACCTAGTGACCTACTAATCTACTAACTTCCATACCTGCCCGCTAGGTCAGCTGCAGCATCAATCGATATTCTTATATTCCCCTCAATCGACAAAGTCAAAGCATTCTGGTTGCATATAAGAGATACAACCGCTATTACCGTTGCCTATCAAGCTGGTGCACACCTAGGTTTATTTACCAAATACGGGGCATTGTATTCTGCTGGGCAACCAGGCAGCTAACTGTTCCATCCATTGTTCCATACTGGCGGGGGACTTATACCGACCCAGAGCTTTTTCTTAGCGCGTCTAGCTCTGGAGCTCATTAAAATACAGCTCTCATTGCTGCTAGTTTCGAGACTCTTCATAGGTTGGCCATCGATAGAACATCCCGCCAGTGGAGGCCAAGGAAAAAAATCCACAGAGTCGGGCGCCCAGGCCTTTTATTTTGTTTGTTTGTTACTGGAGCCTCTCAGCTCTTTTGCAACCTCCCGTCCCGTCCAGACTAGTCTAGTCCTTCCACATCACCACCGCTTCTTCTCTTCTCTTCTCTCTTTCTTTCGTCTTGTCTTCCACCTTTCCCTCCCTGCAGCTTCTCCTCCTCCCCAGCATATTCTCACCATGGCAGCCGACATTGGTCAGATTGCTCAGCTTCTTGATGCAACTCTTGATCCTACAGAGCATCGCAAAGGTACTTGATCTGTTGCTTGTCATAACCCCCCGTCGTTGCCCCGCGGTTTGGAAGCTAATAAACAATCATCACCAACAGCTGAAAATGCTCTCAAGCAAGAGGCTGCTAAGCCTCAGTACTCTCTCAGTCTACTCAACATCGTCAACTCTGACTCTCTACCGTTGAAGACCCGACTCGCCGCCGCCCTGGCCTTCAAGAACTTCATCCGAACATCCTACGTGGTGCGTCTTTCCCAAACCCGATCGATCGTTTTCGAAATGCTAAATTCTGGTATAGGACGAAGAGGGCAACTACAAGCTCCCTCAAGATGAGGTCCAGGTCATTAAGGAGCGCCTAATTGGCCTCATGATTTCGTCCCCGGCCAATATTCAGGCTCAGCTTGGTGATGCTATCAGCGTGATCGCAGATTCTGATTTTTGGCGTCGATGGGACACACTGACCCAGGTGCGTTCTCGTTGCATCCATGCCATTACCTTCCAAGTGTGCTAATGCTTCAATTAGGAACTCGTTAGCCGTTTTTCTGCCACCGATCCAAAGGTCAACGTCGGTGTTCTTGAAGTCGCACACTCCATCTTCGTTAGATGGAGACCCTTGTTCCGTACTGACGAACTTTACATGGAGATCAACCATGTAATTGAAACTTTTGGCCAAGCTTTCCTTGAGCTTCTTATAGTAAGTCTTGGAAACAAAGCTGTTGTCCATCCAACACTGACATTTTCCCCTTCTCCGTTAGACGACCGACAAAAAGATTGCCGAGAACAACAATAACCAGAATGTGTTGCGCGGTTGGTTCGAGACCCTTGATCTACAAATCAAGATCATACATGATATGTCTTGCCATGATCTGCCCCCTATCTTCGACGAGAACCTCGGCAACATCTCCGAACTTCTTCACAAGTACCTTACATATTCGAACCCGTTGTTGGAGACCGACGACGACACGGAAACGAGCATAATCGATACTGTCAGGGCTGATATCTGTGAGGTTCTCGAACTCTTTACTGTCAAATTCGACGAGGACTTTTCCAAGTACTGCCAACCTTTCATTGAGACGGCCTGGAACCTTTTGTCATCTACTGGTCCTGAGACAAAGTACGATGTCATTGTCAGCAAGGCCCTACATTTCTTAACGGCTATCGCCTCTTCGGCACAGCATTCAGGAATCTTCAACGACGAGGGAGTCTTGACTCAGATCGTGGAGAAGGTCATTCTACCCAATGTGGCTCTTCGCGAGTCAGATATCGAGCTGTTTGAGGATGAGCCCATCGAGTTCATCCGAAGGGATCTTGAAGGCTCGGATACCGACTCTCGACGACGATCTGCCACTGACTTTCTCCGCAAGCTGCAGGAGCGCTTTGAGGGTCCTGTTACCACCGTGGTATCTAAATACATTAGCCACTATCTATCCCAGGGTAGCAGCGATTGGAAGGCCAAGGACACTGCTATTTACCTTTTCCTTTCCATCGCTGCTAAAGGTGCTGTGACTGCTGCTCAGGGCGTCAAGACAGTTAACCCTCTGGTCAATGTTGTCGAGTTCTTTGAGCAGCACATTGCCCAAGATCTCATCAATGCTCAGGGTGTCGAGCCTATCTCCAAGGTGGACGCCATCAAGTATCTCTACACTTTCCGAAGTCAGCTGTCCAAGGAGCAATGGAAGGTGGCCCTGGGTCCTCTGATCCAGAACCTTAACTCGGACAACTATGTCGTCTACTCATATGCTGCTATTGCTGTAGAGCGTGTGCTGTTCCTTACCGACGACGCTGGCAATGCTATGTTTCCCCGCGCCGACATTGAGCCCTTTGCCAAGGATCTCCTCGGCCATCTCTTCAAGCTCATCGAGAAGGAGTCCAGCCCTGCTAAGTTACAGGAGAACGAATTCTTGATGCGCTGCGTCATGAGAATCTTGATTGTTATCAAGGATGGTGCCACTCCTTTGTTGGACAATGTCTTGACCCATCTTATTCTCATTACCAACGTTATGAAGCAGAATCCCAGTAACCCCCGATTCTACTACTATCACTTCGAGGCCATTGGCGCCCTTGTTCGATACTGCGCTCCTAGCAATGCTGTTCTATTCAACGAGAAGCTATGGGGGCCCTTCCATCAAATCTTGGTCGAGGATGTCACAGGTAAGCTTAGTTTTTTTTTTTTTTAAAAA